ATAAAAAACATCAATATGTTTCATTTTGGCCGTTTCATATATAGCTGCTCTTTTTTTTGACTCTCTGGCTCCATTTATATTCAAACTTCCCACTCTAAAATTATCCATAAGTGAGAAATTAAGAACAAAAATAAAAATCAATAAATTAATTAAAACACACATTGGAGCTCTTCCCGTCATCATTGTTCAGTTGTTTTCTAACTTTAACACAAGTTTTTTTAATCTAAAAAACTCCTTGTTAGTGATGCCAGACTCCTCCTTTTGGCTCATGTGGAGTCTGGCCGAGGTATAAAACAAACTTAAAACTGGGAAATGCTCTTCAATTTAACACCTTTAGCATTTTTGGTTTTTGCTAAAAACGACTTAATCATTTCTGCAGAGTAAAGTTTTTTCTGTTGACTGTTACTTATTTTAAATCCAGATATATCACTGCTATCAGAGACACAGTCATCACTTTCACTTTCCTCTGTCTGTCCCTGTCCCCCTACTGTCTGTCTGTCCTCCTCCACTTTGCTATTCTTTGCCTCATACTTTGTGCCTCTAGTTTTCCTTCTGCGTTTAGAAGCAGATTTGACCCTCACTGCCTCCTCTTCCTCCTCCTCCATCTCAGCCTCTTCCACCTGTTCCCCCCATGTAAGTTTACTGTTCCCCACCTGCCTCCTCTGCCTGTGTTTCATCTTCCTCCTCTGACATACCCTCCTGCACTTCACTGACCCCACTTGCTTTATTTATCTGTACTTCACTCACACTTTTTCCAGCTGTTTCTTCCCCCTTTTCTTCACCCACCTCACTTTCCACCACATCACCCAAAACCTCTCCTTCACTTCCCTGATTGTTTTCACCCACACCGTGCACATCATTCATACTCACCACCCCGTGCTCCAGGTCCGACACAGCAGCGGCGAGGCGCGGCGCGCTCCGCGGTGCCGCTATCGGCCGCTCAGATGCCGCGGTCCGGGCCGCAGCGGATGAAGTCTCCGCCGCGGCTCAGGCCGCGGCAGGGCCTCCCGCCGCGGGCAGGGCCTCCCGCCGCTCCGCTGCAACCGGCGGAGCAGCGGAAAGCCCCGCCACAGGGCCGGGCGTCACCCCACGGCCAGGCGGAGCCGGATCCCCTTGTCTCGGACAGGCCTTCACGGTGTGTCCCTCCTCACCACAACCAAAACATTTCATAGCCGACGAGGTGGCAAATATCACGTAGTCATAATCATCTACTTTAACATGGAAGCGGAGGTTGAGGTCCGCATCCCGATTGTTAAGTATCATAAACAGTTGTCTACGGTGAGACACCACGTGTTTCAGCAGCTGAGATCTACATCCAGACAGAATCTTTTTTATGGGGGACACCACCTTCCCATGTCTGGAGAGCTCTCTGCTAAGAAACTCGTCGGTTATGAACGGAGGGACATTGGACAGGATGACTCTGGTGGAAGGCTGTGTCAGTGGAGCCACCTGTACAAACATTTCGTTCACCGTGATGCCCGTCTCAACGACTCGGTTCACCTTCTCCACCTGATCCAGGAAGATGACCACGGCGCTGTTCATCCGAGCGGCCGACCTCACGCTGCTGTGCCCGACCTTCTCCCCCACCGCAAGCCCAATCTCCTCCACGCTGCACGGAAAGCTGGCATTAATTTTAATGCCATGCTTTCGCGTGAGGTGGCCGAAGGTGACTCCATTTACCATGACGTCTGAAGACGCCGACCGGCGAGACACCGGCAGGAGAGAAAAAGAAAAACACAAACACAAACACACACTAACTATTAACTTAAAGTGAACCTACAACCAATAAACTACATTAAATTAAATCAAATTACTAAAGAAAAAAACACGACAACCACTCGCTCAGCGTCTCACTCCGCACCACTCACTCCCAGCATGCACCAGAGAGAGAGAGAGAGAGAGAGAGAGACAGAGAGAGAGACAGAGAGAGACAGAGAGAGAGACAGAGAGAGAACAGAGAGAGACAGAGAGAGAGACAGAGAGAGAAGAGAGAGAGAAGAGAGAGAGACAGAGAGAGACAGAGAGAGAGACAGAGAGGAGACGAGAGAGAGAGACAGAGAGAGACAGAGAGAGACAGAGAGAGAGACAGAGAGAGACAGAGAGAGAGACAGAGAGAGAGACAGAGAGAGACAGAGAGAGAGAGACAGAGAAGAGACAGAGAGAGACAGAGAGAGAGACAGAGAGACAGAGAGAGAGAGACAGAGGAGAGAAAAGAGAGAGAAGAGAGAGACAGAGAGAGAGGACAGAAGAGAAGGAGAGACAGAGAGAGAACAGAGAGAGACAGAGAGAGACGAGAGAGAGAGAAAGAGAGACAGAGAGAGAGACAAGAGAGAGAAAGAGAGAGAGAAAAGAGAGACAGAGAGAGAGAGACAGAGAGAGACAGAGAAGAGAGAAGAGAGAGAGAGACAGTGAGAGACAGAGAGAGACAGAGAGAGAGAAAAGAGAGACAGAGAGAGACAGAGAGAGAGAGAAAGAGAGACAGAGAAGAGACAGAGAGAGACAGAGAGAGAGACAGAGAGAGATGCCACTACAGCTAGTGCAGCCACGGATAAGCTCCTCCACTACTGTGGGTCTACCTGCTGAAGGTGTTTATAAATTGATGTCTCATTGTCTTAAGTCCAACATGATTAAAATAAGTTGGCTGTGGTTCTTACTCTTGGGCAAAGAAGTGGCTGAGGATGCTTTTTCTCACTGCAGCGTTCGCGACTACAATCGCCGCTGCAGCTCCGAGCGATAAACACATTTAGTTCCCGGAAAGTTTTTCACAATAAAAGTCCTTTATTGACATCTCTGTGATGTGCTTTTCTTTTGAAACAGACGTATGAGGAAAGTGGGTGTTATAAGCTGCTGCAACTTAACACATCTGAGACGTGTGAAAATAAATACTTCAAACCAAACAGATTCAGTTAGAAGCTTCAGTAGCTAATAGGTAAACAAACAGTGACTAAGACATCTAATATTTAAGCTCATAAAGGCTCAATTCAAAACAATAAATGAATTATCTTTCATCTCAGGTTTATTTGCAGCTAAATCAGCCTTTGATGCTGTCTTTGAGACTAACCAGCCTCAGAATAATAAAACTAAAAACACTAAAATACTCTTTACACTGCTCATGATTGAGACAAAGATCCTTTTAGTATTTTCTTAAATAGTTTAAACATTTCCCTTCATAAAACAGCTGATTACTTGAACATATAATCCTTGATTATTTATCCATCATTATGTATATTTTGTTTTTAGGCTATGAGAAAATGTTTATCAGAAAAGATAAATCTTTGTTAAGATTTGCCGTTAATTAAAAAAACTTTGAGATTAATTTCCTCTCGTCCTTTTTTCACGACACGAGAGATGCGTTGTTAAAAAAAAGTAATAAGTAACTTTTACTTAAAGTACATTTTAAACAAGTTACTTTTTACTTTTACTTGAGTACATTTTTAATCTGGTACTTTTACTTGTTTTACTTATTTTAGCAAAGTAACAGTACTTTTAATTGAGTAGAATATATTAGTACTCTTTACACTCTGGCAGCGAGTCTGTTTTCGCCGGAGTACGCTGCAGGCACGCGTCAAGCTGGACAGAATATGACAGCCCGGACAGGAAGTAGACAAGGAAACGCACAGAGCGTCCAGTCAATTTTAAAATTAAACACAATATGCAGACTCACGATCGTATTTTTCATCACTTTATCAACATTACGTCAAAACAGGTATCGAATTAACCACATGCAATCCTCAGAAAGACAAAGCAACATGTTGTTTGCATGTTTTACTCTTATTCCGCGGGATCTTGTAGTTGTCCTGTGATGTGTCATAGGTGTGCTGACGTCCCAGAAACAGATCCAGTGTGAATGGGCGCGAGCCGTCCGAAGGAGCAAAACCGTGGAAACTGACAGACCGCGGCACGCACGGAATATGTGTGAATTGGGGGTTAGGCTCCTCGAGATTGTTGGTTGACGGCCTGCCAGAACAACCCCCAACCCCCCAACCCCCAACCCCCACCCCCTTACTCCCTATCCCTCTTCCTGAATTTTTATCCCATCTCTCCCCTATCCCTTTCCAAGCCCGGCGCAGTCTAGGCCTGTGAAGGCTGATGAGCCCGGGATCAGGCCGAAGATTTCTGACTTTTAATAAGGCAGTTTTTTGTTGTTGGTCTTTTGTATAAAGTTTAATTTTATACAAAAGACCAACAACCACAATTTGTATTTTAGTGTGTCGTGAGTTTATGGGATAAAGACTGTAAAGATTGCACAAAGTAGTAGTTGCAATAATGAGCTTAAACTGCACATCATTTACAAGTAAAAGATATTTATTAAAAAAGAATTCTAAAATAAGAAAATGTCTATCCACAGGCAACACTCTCTAAAGAACACAAGGGGAGGCTCTCAGCGTACTGAAACACCCATGTAAGACCATAACATCATCTGCTGAGATCATCAGCACACTTATACTGTGTTTTTTTAAAGGTGCTCTATGGAGTTTTGGTAGAGAAAGTGAATGTTGGAGAAATGTACAGATTCTGTGGTATGTGTTCATTACTCTATATGCTTCTATAGAAGTACAATGTGACAGAGCAAAGCAGAGAGATGATCACCAATGACCAAAGTGACTACAACAACAGAAAGACAGGAAATGTGGAAAGCCTAAATAAGTGGGTGGGCAACAGGAGGTACCTGAGAAATTAGTTTAAAAAGACATTTAATGCAGATATGTTGAGATAAGAAGAACAAATATGTTTAAATATCTGAATACTTTTCACATTGTGAATTAAGTCAAAGGTTTCCATGCAGTGGCTCATTTTTCTTCTGCTAATTAAAACGTGCAGTAGATCTGATCAAACTCGTAGCTCTCTCCTTCATCACTCGTATGACTATCATTACAAGCTCCAATGTTTTGTCAGTGGTTATAATGCCACTGATGGGACTCCAAAGCCCCCTGCAGTAACAGACGGGTGATGTCACTCTGGCTTAGTCCATTCATTCTTACAGCTGTGGTGCACACCAGAGAAAAATTAGATACATTGAAAACCAACATTTTAAACATCTAATCCACATTCTATATTTGACCTAGCCTCCAGTGACTCCGGTGACTCCATCGGTCCACCCCATGTTGAGCCTGGTGTATCTTGGATGATGGTGTTCAGTCCAGCCATCACGGTCCTCTCCACCTTCCTGTGCCTGACTTTTGTTTATCTCTGCAGTCAGAATGCAGGTAAATACACAACAATCACTTTTTACCTGTTAAGTATAGACATTTTGAATCGACTAAAATACAAATGAATCATATTGATTGTGATGGATCATTGAAAGAATGAAGTCATTGTCTAACAAGAAACCTTTTATTTATGATTCTACAGATGAAAAAGATCAAATGACTGAGAGAAGACCTGACATGGGAGAGGAAAGTACAGTGAATCAGGTAAGGACTTTCTTTGGTATTTTCATGGTCTCAGAACCATTAGACATCTTTGCAGCAGTAGAGACTCTGTACTAATGACACTCATGTTACTGTGTCTGATTACCTTTCAGGATGAAGACGCATGTTTCACCAGAGTTGTGTTCTTGGTTGCAGATGGACAGAACAAATAGATTGGCTTTGTCTGAGCGGACATCACACAAGCTCCACTTCAAACGTCTCACAAAGTCTTTAGAGTCCGAGTTTAAAGATCTGTTATTCTTGTTCACAGTGATGATGCGTTTTGTGGGCGGAGTCAAAATGGTGTCAGAAAGTCAGCTAGTGGTGTTGAATTAACTGTTTGTTTGTTTGTTTTCTGGCTTCTTGCTTTCACTTGATAAGACGGTGTATAGAGTAGTAAACAGGAAAGAGAGAGGGGGGAATGACATGTGGTAATGGAACCACAGGCCGGACCTGAACCACCCGCCCAGAGGACCAGAGCTTCCAAACATTCGGGGCAACCCAACCACCAGGTCAGCTGTGCTCATGAATTAACAATTGGTTCTTCGGCAGATGTTCAGCAGAAGCAGCTTTTGAAGACCCTTGTTTACTATCACAATGACGTTAATCATCCTACTACGACGCTCGATGGCCGATTATCATCCAATTTGTCAATGTCTTCAGACACATTCACGTTGTTAGGGAAGAGTTTGTGGAGTCACAGAGTACATTTAAAGAAATGAATATTATTTTCACCATCTATTTGTAATACATATTCAAATTAATCAAAGTACGTTGTTGGTGTATCTCTGTTAAAAGGTGAAGCAGATCTAAGAAAGGTTGAGCCCAACAGGAGCCACAAAAAAGTGAAAAGATTGATGACAAAATTCAACAGAAATTCTAATTGATTCCATGAGAACCTTTATTCAAGGTTGTCATTTTTTATACAGTTTGGGTAAAATGTGGTCAAATCTAAGTTGGGCAACCTCAGAGCAGAAAGAGCCTTGCCTTCCACACGATACTGAGGCTCCTGTTTGTTAAATCAATAAATTGTTAAATTGCCAATGTGTCTTGTTTCTTCAAATTTTAATCCTCCAATCCTGTTAGCTTGGGGTGGGTTTTTTGTTTAGTTCATTTCTGTTTTGCTGTTACTGTTTGTGTCTCAAAATAAAGAAATCAATAAAAAAAAAAAATCATCAAATCCAATAAACGAATAAACTGTTTTTTCATGTTTTCTCAAGTTTTTGAATTTTCATACTCAGCTCTGCTACTCATCCCACATTGCATGTTCCTTACAAATGTGGCACCATTTAAAAGGGAAATAAACAGTCTTTCCAAAGTTATAAGATTTATTGCCAAGAAGCATTGTTACAACAAAGAAATAAATCTACCAAACACAAATGTCCTTACTTTTTGTTCGATGTTTATGTCAACATTACAAAATTATTTTTTTTGTTCCTCTGGTCTTAGGCCTGTTACATCCTAGATGTATTAAGAGCGGAATAGGTGCAGAAGTCAGAAGTCTGCGGTTCCTTCTTCTTCTTTGGTCTCTTTGATTTCTGACGGATTTCCACAGCAGCATAGCACACATCGTCATCCTAAGATTGGATATTTGTCATTTAGAAGCCCAACCTTGAACATATTTAATGCTTTGATACATTACACTTTAATGATAGATACCTGGCTCTGTCTTGGATGACCTCTAGTGTCAGGTCTTTGCTGATCAACAGGATGTTCTTCAGCTGCAGGAATAAATATAACATCAGTACAGCACAATGAAACTCACACAGTGGAAGAGACATTAAGGTGTCTTTGTGATTAAAACACTTAAGTGGATACATATTCTAGAAAAAGTGAGGTAGTTACCCTTCTTACAGCAGTGATAGACCACAAGTGAGGAGAGGAGAGAGGAGACAATAGATACAACTGGACACAGACAGAAGATCAGAATCCAGCAGTCCTGTTGCATCTTGGGGGGAGGAGTCTGATTCGTTTCCGCATCTAAATGAAAGTTCTGTTGATTACGTTCATTTAACTCTGATCTACAGAAAAAATCCTAAAAAGTTGTAGAAAGTTGTAGAAACTTCAAAACATTGAAACCCCATATTTGAATGAAAATAGCACAAAGACAACATAAATTGTTGAAACTGGGATATTTTATTGTCTTTGGAAAACAATAATGCTAAGGCAGCTTAGTAAATTTATAGGGACATGTCAGACAAAAGCACCACATTTTTTCCACATAGTCTCCATCACCATAGCTTTCAAATTTTTTTTATTTTTTTTTGGGGGGGCACTTCATCAAGTTGGCGGCCATGTAAAGTCTGTTAGTGCCAATATGTCTTCCAAGCCACTTAGAAAGTCAATCTTGGTGTCAATATATTTTCTGAGTGGAGGAATGCATTAAAATATGGAAAAAATTTGGTGCTTTTGTCCAACGTGTCCCCATTCGTTCCAAATCTGGTCCTAAGCTGCCTGACTAAAAGGCTGAAAAATGGTAAAAAACAAACAAACAAACATCCATAACTGAATCAGAATTCAAATGATGAATTAGAATAATATGTTATGCCCGCCACCTATCGTAGTGCGCGTTCTGCCCGCTCGCCTCATGGACTGTAAATATTACGTTCACCTGCCTGGGAGCTGGAGTCTGACGTCACTTTCCTGCACCGTCCACTTTGCCGTTTCATTTTCAATTTGGTTTGAATTATGATCACTTTTTAGCACGGCAAGTTTGAAAACAAAAAGCCAAAGACCTTTTAGTTTTCATTTGATGTCATACAATATGCAGACATAGAGAGCAAAAGTATAATGCAAACTGGATGACTGAATATTCATTTTAAATATAGGTCAAATAATGCACTTATAATCTGAAAATTAAAACGCATTTCTGTTAATGCATTTGAATTTTCAAATTAGCTTTATCATTTCAATTTTGATCACTAATCGCTTCCATACTAGCAGGCCTGCATTCTGGGACCGTTGTGTTCTCGAGGGGCAGTACGGCACTAGTAGCTCCTTAAGATAAGATGGTGCCTGGTCATTTAGAGCTTTGTAAGTGAGAAGAAGGATCTTGAACTCTATTCTAGATTGTATAGGGAGCCAGTGCAGAGAAGCCAACACAGGAGTAATGTGGTCCCTTTTCCTAGTTCTAGTCAGTACACGAGCTGCAGCGTTCTGGACTAGTTGAAGAGTCTTTAGAGACTTACCAGAGCACCCTGACAAAAGAGAATTACAATAATCCAACCTGGAGGTAACAAATGCATGAACTAGTTTTTCTGCATTATTTTGCGACAGGATCTGCCTGATCTTAGATAAGTCCAGGCCAGAGAACCTGAAAGGGTATGTTCTTTGGCTGCTAGGTCCGTCCGAGCCGACTCTAGTTTTGCTAAGAGTCATCGAGCGAGAGAAGAGGGCCGTGGTAGGGTAGACCGAAAATATCAGAAAATAGTTTATTATTATTAAATAAATAATTACTATAAGTGTGATTGATCTAATTATAAACACACTAGTGTACAGATTGAACTACTGTTGATGTAGCACGTAGCAGCCACGTTCAGTTTGTATGCTCCCTAAATCTGGAACAAACTCCCAGAAAACTGCAGGTCTGCTGAAACTCTCAGCTCTTTTAAATCGAGGTTGAAGACACACCTGTTTACAGCTGCCTTTCAATAAACAATTTTAATAAGATTTGAAATCTTAACTATGCACTGTAACTTTTAACTCTTTTTACATTTTTACTTTATTTATTTCAATTAATTTCATTTGAATTATTTTTATTTTAACACATTTTCAGATTTAATAACTTCAGTCATTTTTAAATTTCCTATTTTAATGTTTCTCTTCTTTCCTCTGTCATGATGCTTTTGGTGTTTTGTGTGAAGCACTTTGAATTGTTGTTGAAATGTGCTCTATAAATAAACTTGCCTTGCCCTGTAAGAAAGAGTCTCAGTGCTAAACTGGCACTTCCTGCAGTCCTGACTTGTCACCCATTAAAAGTGTTTTTGAGCTTTATGAAAGGTGTAAAAGGAGTCCTTAAACTGTTGAACATTTTAAATCCTACATTAAGCAAGAATGGTAAAACATTACCCTCTTAAAGTTACAGAAAATGGTCTCCTGTGTTGTTTAAAGAAAAGTGTGATGCAACAGAGCGGTACACATGACCCTGTCCCAACTTTTGAAAAGTGTTGCTGACATTAAATTCAAAACGGCGTATCATTTTCTGTAAACATTTTATGTTTTCTTGGGCTTATTTCAAACCAATTCAGGGTTTTAATATTTTTAAATTCATCACATTTTGTTTGATTTACTTTTTAACACAACGTGCAAACTTTTTGCCGAAAAAAACGACATCATGAGAAAGTCAATGTTCTTAATTTATTTTTTGTAGTATTTAACTTTGCAGACAGGTTGAGTCTTTCTGAATGTGTGTGTGTCTGTGTGTGTTTGTGGTGTGTGTCTGTGTGTGTGTGTGTGTGTGTGTGTGTGTGTGTGTGTGTGTGTGTGTGTGTGTGTGTGTTTGTGTGTGTGTGTGTGTGTGTGTGTGTGTGTGTGTGTGTGTGTGTGTGTGTGTGTGTGTGTGTGTGTGTGTGTGTGTGTGTCTGTGTGTGTGTGTGTGTGTGTGTCTGTGTGTGTGTGTGTGTGTGTGTGTGTGTGTGTGTGTGTGTTTGTGTGTGTGTGTGTGTTTGTGTGTGTGTGTGTGTGTGTGTGTGTGTGTGTGTGTGTGTGTGTGTGTGTGTATGTGTTCACACCTCTTCTTTTTTCACTTCTTAATAGTATTTCTGCCACTTGTCTTTCGAGTTAGTTGTAGTCATATTGGTCATTGATGATCTGGTGATCATCATCCTGTACAACACTTTCTTTGCAAATTAATCATTCATTTTACAAAAGTATGAATGTGTTGTCTGATGATCTTAGCGGATGATGTTTTTGGTCTGACATCATTAATTCAGATAATGATTTAGTTGCATTATTCAAATTATTTAATCCACTGAAATCACAGTCACACAAAGACAGAGCGTACTTACTGAATATGATTCTTCTTGTGATGTTGCTGTAGCTGTAAATATATTTAGAAGTTATGTGTTCCTTTTCCTCCACTTTTGTTTCTTCAGTTCCACAGTAGTAAAGACCTTCATCTGACTCAGTGATGTTCAGGATCAGCAGGTCGTAGGAGTCAGAGGACTGGTTCTTCAATAAATGGAAATTGGGATGATTCAGTCTATTCGTTGCTCTAAGAACGAGTGAAGGCTGGTTCTCACGAGAACAGTTCCTGTACCACATGATGTAAACTCCAGTTGATGTTTTGCAGTCACAGTAGAGAATGATGTTGTCTCCTGGTCTGACCGTCACCTTCAACTCTGATCCACAAACACAGTCAGGACTCAAGGAAACCACTGCTGGAATTCAAACAAGATCATAACAGCAGTTTAAAATGTGCACAGCTATACAGGGAGACAAAATGACAAGGGCACTAGAACGTTAGTATTCTTCTTTTAATGTAAAAACATCCTTGTACTAAATCATCCAAACTATTAATCAAAAGAATTACCTGAGACCAGGAGCAGAACAACGTGACGGCCCTCCATGAGTGACGAGGTCTGAGATGTGAAGACAGAGACACAGGTCTCACTGACATCACACCCATGTAGATGTTTCCATTAAAGGAAGCAGACGCTGTGATTGGCCAGTGACGTGAAAACTTTTTTTTTCTTTTTTTTTGCAGATTCCACCCAATGTGACATTTTAGACTTTGATGTCTTATTCTCTCATTGTGTCTTTCCCTAACATCCTCTATTAACTTTTAATGCTTTTATTTATTTTCATTTAATTGCTCTTATTACGTCTTTAGTTCTTGCACGGATTACAAGACTCCATGGACGGTCAGAAGACGTTCAGAATAACTTAGAAGCAACTTCTAATGAGACAAGTGTTGTTTAAGATGATGTTACATTAGCAGATGTGTTTTCTTGATGACAGTGCGACCATGTCTGGTTTTGAATGTTGGTTTAGGCAGGAACCTGTTCTCCCCTCTTTCCAGTACTGCATACTGCCACTACATGTTTTAAATTTAGACATGAGAATGCAGACGAAAACCCCACTGAACATGTGCTACACTCTGCTTCATAAGTGCAACCAGAGCTGACCTCATTTGATCTCACAAAGGTGGGACGTGGTCACCCATATGACATAGATTCAGATATATTGATTGACTGATAGAACGTTATTGTCAGAGAGAACTCTCAATAATGTTTTGCATATCTCAGCAGCTCCATTTACAATATAAATAATTAAAGACAATATAAAAATATGCAAACATTTGACCCAACATTCAAACACCAAACAAGTATTCAGAAGCCTTTAATGTGCTTTGATCTGAGATTATTCTCCATATTTCATTTTAGGATTGACTGCTGTAGGAAAGAGTGCACCGTTCATTCCTTAAAACTGACTGGTGCACTCCTGCATGTGTAACAGAGTTAGAATCTACCTCTATGTTGAATTTTTACAAACAGATAAGGCTGTCCCTACATGGTGGTTTAATAGAGCAACTGTGAGCTGTATTGGTCGGGGCCACTAGCTGTTCACACGTAGCTCAGCAATGGAAAACTCTCCCCAGCTGAAGATGTGAGTCCTTTGAATTTGCATGAAACAGTACTGATTAGTGTGTTCTGTTGATTTAAACACCAGAATAAAAAAGTGAACCAGAGTGAGAGCAACTCCTGTGTAGTTGTGGCTTCCTTCAACAAGACATGCAGAGACACACAACCAGTCACCCATGTCTAATAGCGTGTTTAGAAGTAGCTGTGGTGGCTGCAGAGCAGTTGAATATCCACCTGAGGTTTTGCTTGACTTTAGACACCACACACTTCAAAGGGGGTTGAGCAGACTTGTTTTCTTCAGCAGAGTGTGTGAAGTTGCATGAGGGTCTGTTCGTCATTTTCGGTTAACTGTGAATCTATCTGATCGTTCTTGGAATCGTGCGGTGGAGTGTATACAGTCAGATGGATAACTTGAGATAAAAACAAGAAATTGCCTGAAAACAGCTCACGTGAAACAACACTCACTACTATAATGAAAAGTTATGGATCCATTTCAATGAAGAAATATGAATATAAAGCTGTTACTATTTAAGTGCCAGAAACGAAAGAAATTACTCATTGCTATATTACAAACTAAGTCCCAATGTTAATCCATCATTAGCGTAGCACTTTAGCAACATTTTAGCAAAAGTTACAGCGGCAAGAAAACTTTCTTTTAATAGGCAGAAATCTTGAGCAAACCCAGGCTCATGAAGAACAGCCATCCACCGAAACTGTGCCATGCTTGAAAACAGGATAGTGGGTGATGGGATAAGATGCAGGAAGAAGGTTAGGGAACAAGGGGGTGTTGGTCATTCAGGCAGGCCGTCCACCAAACGATCCAGAGGAACCTAAGAGAGCAGTTAAGAATGGTGGGAAGGAAAAATGTGAGGATTCATTTCCCCTCTTTGGTTGTTGTATGTACAGAGTTTATAATACACAAGGGAAGACATGTTGGGCTCAGAGTCCAGACAGAAAAAGGGACCACTCTGATACTCAAGGGTTCAAGGTCAAACTTATTGATTTGAAGGTTTTACTATACTTTTGTCAGTAATGTTATGAGTGTGTGTGTGTGCGTGTGCGTGTGTGTGTGTGCGTGCGTGCGTGTGTGTGTGGATGAATGAGTATATGTCTACAACACATTACAATACAAACAAATGCTGACGGCAGACTGGTGGCCAGGGAAGAGTTGAGAGGACTGAGCAGGTCTGCTTTATAGCATCCTGAAACCAGCATGCTCAGGTGTGCTGCATTACAGAGTCGTCTCAGACTCCACCCACATCTACCTGCAACAAGGAGAACACAGCAAGCAAAAGAGAGAACAAACAGGTAGAGAGGCTGAGGCCACTGAGGCCGTCAACATTTCTATACTAAGGATCTCAAAAGAAAACCCATTTCTAACCTTCTGTCAGCCATCTTGATTCTGAGAAATTTCTGGTGCACTTACAACTGCTGGCCAGTGGGTGGCAGTGTATGGATTGACTTACCAACGTCTGCTGAAGTGGCTGATGTGAAACCAATCTATCAAACTCTATGAACTTAGTGGATAAAGGCTTCTGAATAGCTGTCCACTGCAGTGAGCACGATGTGTGGAAGGGTTATGTGCATGACTGCATGAATCCTGGTTCAATAAAAAAAGTTTGTGTTGTGGCTAGAAAACAACAACAAATGATGAGTTCCCAATGAGATGAGAAATTCAGAGGTTTTCAAATGGATAATGTGGCACCATGTTTCGTCTGTCTTCTGTTGATGACTTATATGTAATATATATTTTGAACATTACTGATGAACTTCAAAATAACTTATTGTATGATTGTAATGTTGTCACAATGCCTCCCATTCTGTTGGTGGCTTATTTGTGGTTTGTCTTTTCTGTGTCAGAGCAGCAACAACCACACTTTGTTTCCATCATCCACTCTCTCTCTCTCTCTCTCTCACACACACACACACACACACACACACACACACACACACACACACACACACACACACACACACACACACACACACAACATCACTGACAAAAGTGGTCACTATGTTTTTCACTTTTGGTATAGTAAAACTTCAAATCAATAAGTTTGACCTTGAACCCTTGAGTATCAGAGTGGTCCCTTTTTCTGTCTGGACTCTGAGCACCACATGTCTTCCCTTGTGTATTGTAAACACTGTTCTTGCAACAACCACAGGTGGGGGTGGGATTAATCCTCCATTTTTAAATATGGAAAAGTTCCCATGTTTCCCCCGACAGTTTCCTCATGTTTCCCGATTCCTGCTGATGCAAGAGTGGCTGCTGGGAACATAACTTTAGCATACATGTCTTTTTCTTTCTCACCATTCTCAACTTTTCTCTAAGTCATTTATTTGGCTGTCTGTAATTGAACTGTTTCTGGCACTTAACATGTAACAGCTTTTTATTCACGTCTCTTCATTGAAAGGGATCCATAACATTTCATTATAGTAGTGAGTGCTGTTTCACGTAAGCTGTTTACATGCAATTTCTTGTTTTCTCCACCACACATTTCCAAGAACGATCAGATTAGTTCACAGGAAACCCAAAGCGATGAACAGACCCTCGTCTAACTTGACACTCTGCTGCAGAAAACAAGTCTGCTCCACACCCTTTGTTGAAGTGTTGTGTGTCTGGGTGTCTAAAGTCAAGCAAAACCTCAGTTGGACATTCAACTGCTCTGCAGACACCAAAGATACTTCTAGACAAGCAACTACACAGGAGTTGCTCTCACTCTGGTTCACTTTTTTATTCTGGTGTTTAAATCAACAGAACACACTAATCAGTACTGTTTCATGCAAATTCAAAGGACTCACATCTTCAACTGGGGAGAGTTTTCCATCTGCTAATGCAACATCATCTTAAACAACACTTGTCTCCTTAGAAGTTGCTTCTAAGTTATTCTGAACGTCTTCTGACCGTCCATGGTGTCTTGTAATACGTGCAAGAACTAAACACGTAATAAGAGCAATTAAATGAAAATAAATAAAAGCATTTAAAGTTAATTGAGGATGTTAGGTAAAGACACAATGAGAGAATAAAACATCAAAGTCTAAAATGTCACATTGGGTGGAATCTGCAAAAAAAAAAAAAAAAAAATGTTCCACCTCACTGGCCAATCACAGCGTCTGCTTCCTTTAATGGAAACATCTACATGGGTGTGATGTCAGTGAGACCTGTGTCTCTGTCTTCACATCTCAGACCTCGTCACTCATGGAGGGCCGTCACGTTGTTCTGCTCCTGGTCTCAGGTAATTCTTTTGATTAACAGTTTGGATGATTTAATACAAGGATGTTTTTACATTAAAAGAAGAATACTAACGTTCTAGGGCCCTTGTCATTTTGTCTTCTTGTATAGCTGTGCACATTTTAAACTGCTGTTATGATCTTGTTTGAATTCCAGCAGTGGTTTCCTTGAGTCCTGACTGTGTTTGTGGATCAGAGTTGAAGGTGACGGTCAGACCAGGAGACAACATCACTCTCTACTGTGACTGCAAAAGATCAACTGGAGTTTACATCATGTGGTACAGGAACTGTTCTCACGAGAACCAGCCTTCACTCGTTCTGAAAGTAAGGAATATACTGAATCAAAATCTTCCTCCTAATTTCCACTTTCTGAAGAACCAGTCCTCTGAATCCTACGACCTGCTGATCCTGAACATCACTGAGTCAGATGAAGGTCTTTACTACTGTGGAACTGAAGAAATAAAAGTGGAGGAAAAGGAACACATAACTTCTAGATATATTTACTACAGCTACAGCAACATCACAACAAGAATCATATTCAGTAAGTACGCTCTGTCTTTGTGTGACTGTGATTTCAGTGGATTCAATAATTTGAATATTACAAATAAATCATTCACTGAATTAATGATGTCAGACCATAAACATCATCCGCTAAGATCATCAGACAACACATTCATACTTTTGTAAAATGAATGATTAATTTGCAAAGAAAGTGTTGTACAGGATGATGATCACCAGATCATCAATGACCAATATGACTACAACTAACTCGAAAGACAAGTGGCAGAAATACTATTACCTGAAATGGAATTAATATAGCTTAAATAAATGGACGATCAGGAGGTATTTGAGTAGTAAAAAAAGAAGAGGTGTGAACACACACACACACACACACACACACACACACACACACACACACACACACACACACACATATATACATACATTCAGAAAGACTCAACTTGTCTGCAAAGTTAAATACTACAAAATGTTTTAATTAAGAACATTGACTTTCTCAAGATGTCGTTTTTTTGGTCAAAAAGTTGTCAAAAGTAAACAAAACTGATTTTGATGAATTTAAAAATATTGAAACCCTGATTTTTTTTTTAAATAATCACAAGAAAACATAAAATGTTTACAGAAAATGATACGCCAATTTGAATTTAATGCCAGCAACACTTTTCAAAAGTTGGGACAGGGTCATGTGTACCGCTCTGTTGCATCACACTTTTCTTTAAACAACACAGGAGACCAGTTTCTGTAACTTTAAGAGGGTAATGTTTTACCATTCTTGTTTAATGTAGGATTTAAAATGTTCAACAGTTCAAGGACTCCTTTTACACCTTTCATAATGCTCAAAAACACTTTTAATGGGTGACAAGTCAGGACTGCAGGAAGTGCCAGTTTAGCACTGAGACTCTTTCTTACAGGGCAAGGCAAGTTTATTTATAGAGCACATTTCAACAACAATTCAAAGTGCTTCACACAAAACATCAAAAGCATCATGACAGAGGAAAGAAGAGAAACATTAAAAGAAGAAATTTAAAAATGACTGAAATTATTAAATCTGAACATATGTTCAAATAAAAATAATTCAAATGAAATTAATTGAAATAAATAAAGTAAAAATATAAAAAGAGTTAAAAGTTACAGTGCAGAGTTAAGATTTCAAATCTTATTAAAATTGTTTATTGAAAGGCAGCTGTAAACAGGTGTGTCTTCAACCTCGATTTAAAAGAGCTGAGAGTTTCAGCAGACCTGCAGTTTTCTGGGAGTTTGTTCCAGATTTAGGGAGCATACAAACTGAACGTGGCTGCTACGTGCTACATCAACAGTAGTTCAATCTGTACACTAGTGTGTTTATAATTAGATCAATCACACTTATAGTAATTATTTATTTAATAATAATAAACTATTTTCTGATATTTTCGGTCTACCCTACCACGGCCCTCTTCTCTCGCTCGATGACTCTTAGCAAAACTAGAGTCGGCTCGCACGGACCTAGCAGCCAAAGAACATACCCTTTCAGGTTCTCTGGCCTGGACTTATCTAAGATCAGGCAGATCCTGTCGCAAAATAATGCAGAAAAACTAGTTCATGCATTTGTTACCTCCAGGTTGGATTATTGTAATTCTCTTTTGTCAGGGTGCTCTGGTAAGTCTCTAAAGACTCTTCAACTAGTCCAGAACGCTGCAGCTCGTGTACTGACTAGAACTAGGAAAAGGGACCACATTACTCCTGTGTTGGCTTCTCTGCACTGGCTCCCTATACAATCTAGAATAGAGTTCAAGATCCTTCTTCTCACTTACAAAGCTCTAAATGACCAGGCACCATCTTATCTTAAGGAGCTACTAGTGCCGTACTGCCCCTCGAGAACACTACGGTCTCAGAATGCGGGCCTGCTAGTGGTACCTACAGTCTCTAAATGTACTATGGGAGGTAAAGCCTTCAGTTATCAGGCTCCTCTCCTCTGGAATCATCTTCCAGCCGGAGTCTGGGAGGCAGACACAGTCTGTATTTTTAAGAATAGACTTAAAACTTTCCTTTTTGATAAATCTTATAGTTAGGGCTGATGTAGACCAGCTCCTAGTTATGCTTCTATAGGCTTAGACTACCGGGGGAACTGGCACCTTGAGCTCCTCTCTCTCTCACTGTGCATATACAGTTCATCATATTACTGCATGTATCTATCTGTAAATCTCAGTCACTAACCACCTACTTTCCTGGGAGCTCTTGAGCTCTCTTTCCCCCAATTCACACAAACTCCGTAATCATGATCATTGTGTTCACACAGTGCGCGCCACCAACGGCACCACGCTCTGCTCCGTTTCAAATACGCAGCGAGCAGAGGTGTAAAGAAAGGAATTACATTTACTCGCGTTACTGTAATTGAGCAGTTTTTTGGTGTACTTACTACTTTTGAAGTCCTTTTTAAAATCTGTACTTTTACCTTTATTTCAGTAGGTTTTCTGTTAAGTTTTGTAATTCGCTACATTTTAAATCACATCCGTTACTGAGTAAAAAAATAGGCCTGCTATGAATGATTTTCCCTCATCGGGTTGCCACCCGTCCCGTAAAATACGGAATCGTCCCGTATTTTACACTTTGATATTGCGTCCCGTTTTGAATCAATACGGGACGCGGTATTTCCCGTATTTCCAAGATGCCTTGAACTCAGCATCATTCAGCCCGATTCAGCCGGCTAGTTCCCGCTTCCTCAGAGCGTCCGTTGGTTTGTTTGGTTCTTTTTTGGCATGAGCAATAAGAGCTCTTTAGTGATTGGGTGAGAGAAAGTCATAGGAGTCAGAAGGAAACATGTCTGCAGGTGTCTGTCGAGATATCATCAATACAACATCAATATATCGACAGTTGACACTTAATTAATACAATAAGAAAATAGTTCAAAACCATATTAATCGTATCATTCATGATTTCATGAGAAAACAACAAAAACAAAAGACAGAAGGACAGAATAAATGAATAAAAATACTATTAAATTCGTACTGTTTATTTAATAAAAAATCTGTCATCTTACTGCTCCCCTCTATGTTACAGCAGTGTCAAAAGCACTTTAATAATACTCTGTTAATGAATTAATGTTAAGTTAATAACTTTATTTTATGTTTAAGTTAAGTTGTAAATTAGATAGGCCTAGCTAGTAGTAATCATCTGCTGACGTCCTGTTAGGTGCATTTCATTGTGCATACATGACTGTATCTGCCTTTACACTGATGTTTTGCATTTTTGTAAATTATTTCAGAAAAGAAAGTGTTAATAAAGCACTTAAAACTTTAAGTATGACTCTTACTACTTCATTAAAACCACGTTTTAAATCATGATTCACCACAACTGGTGCCCCACCCCACCGTTCGGCCAGTGGTGGTCAGGCCCCTTCTGAGTTGCACCCTGCTGCAGGGTGTCCTTTATTTTTCTGCTTGGAAGGTGGCAACCCTACTCATCACACCGGAGCGAAGAGAGAGAGAGAGACAGAGAGAGAGACAGAGAGAGAGACAGAGAGAGACAGAGAGAGACAGAGAGAGACAGAGAGAGAGAGAGAGATACAGAGAGAGAGACAGAGAGAAAGAGACAGAGAGAGATACAGAGAGAGAGACAGAGAGAGACAGAGAGAGAGAGACAGAGAGAGAGACAGAGAGAGATACAGAGAGAGATACAGAGAGCGAGAGACAGAGAGAGAGACAGAGAGAGAGAGACAGAGAGAGACAGAGAGAGAGACAGAGAGAGAGACAGAGAGAGACATAGAGAGAGACAGAGAGAGAGAGACAGAGAGAGACATAGAGAGAGACAGAGAGAGATGCCACTACAGCTAGTGCAGCACGGATAAGCTCCTCCACTACAGCGGGTCTACCTGCTGAAGGTGTTTATAAACTGATGTCTCATTGTCTTAAGTCCAACATGATTAAAATAAGTTGGCTGTGGTTCTTACTCTTGGGCAAAGAAGTGGCTGAGGATGCTTTTTCTCACTGCAGCGTTCGCGACTACAATCGCCGCTGCAGCTCCGAGCGATAAACACATTTTACTTGATTACTTGAACATATAATCCTTGATTATTTATCCATCATTATGTATATTTTGTTTTTAGGCTATGAGAAAATGTTTATCAGAAAAGATAAATCTTTGTTAAGATTTGCCGTTAATTAAAAAAACTTTGAGATTAATTTCCTCTCGTCCTTTTTTCACAACACGAGAGATGCGTTGTTAAAAAAAAGTAACTAAGTAACTTTTACTTAAAGTACATTTTAAACAAGTTACTTTTTACTTTTACTTGAGTACATTTTTAATCTGGTACTTTTACTTGTACTTAAGTAACATTTTAGCAAAGTAACAGTACTTTTAATTGAGTAGAATATATTAGTACTCTTTACACCTCTGGCAGCGAGTCTGTTGGAGCTGGACAGAATATGACAGCCCGGACAGGAAGTCAGACAAGGAAACGCACAGAGCGTCCAGTCAATTTTAAAATTAAACACAATATCCAGACTCGCGATCGTATTTTTCATCACTTTATCAACATTACGTCAAAACAGGTATCGAATTAACCACAATGCATCCTCAGAAAGACAAAGCAACATGTTGTTTGCATGTTTAACTCTTTATTCCCGCGGGATCTTGTAGTTGTCCTGTGATGTGTCATAGGTGTGCTGACGTCCCAGAAACAGATCCAGTGTGAATGGGCGCGAGCCGTCCGAAGGAGCAAAACTGTGGCACTGACGGACCAGGGCACGCACAGAATATGTGTGAATTGGGGGTTAGGCTCCTTGAAATTGTTGGTTGACGGCCTGCCAGAACAACCCCCAAACCCCCAACCCCCCAACCCCCACCCCTTACTCCCTATCCCTCTTCCTGAATTTTATCCCATCTCTCCCCCTATCCCTTTCCAAGCCCGGCGCAGTCTAGGCCTGTGAAGGCTGATGAGCCCGGGATCAGGCCGAAGATTTCTGACTTTTAATAAGGCAGTTTTTTGTTGTTGGTCTTTTGTATAAAGTTTAATTTTATACAAAAGACCAACAACCAACAATTGTATTTTAGTGTGTCGTGAGTTTATGGGGATAAAGACTGTAAAGATTGCACAAAGTAGTAGTTGCAATAATGAGCTTAAACTGCACATCATTTACAAGTAAAAAGATATTTATTAAAAAAGAATTCTAAAATAAGAGAAAATGTCTATCCACACGCAACACTCTCTAAAGAACACAAGGGGAGGCTCTCAGCGTACTGAAACACCCATGTAAGACCATAACATCATCTGCTGAGATCATCAGCACACTTATACTGTGTTTTTTTAAAGGTGCTCTATGGAGTTTTGGTAGAGAAATGTGAAAGTTGGAGAAATGTACAGATTCTGTGGTATGTGTTCATTACTCTATATGCTTCTATAGAAGTACAATGTGACAGAGCAAAGCAGAGAGATGATCACCAATGACCAAAGTGACTACAACAACAGCAAAGACAGGAAATGTGGAAAGCCTAAATAAGTGGGCGGGCAACAGGAGGTACCTGAGAAATTAGTTTAAAAAGACATTTAATGCAGATATGTTGAGATAAGAAGAACAAATATGTTTAAATATCTGAGTACTTTTCACATTGCGAATTAAGTCAAAGGTTTCCATGCAGTGGCTCATTTTTCTTCTGCTAATTAAAACGTGCAGTAGATCTGATCAAACTCGTAGCTCTCTCCTTCATCACTCGTATGACTATCATTACAAGCTCCAATGTTTTGTCAGTGGTTATAATGCCACTGATGGGACTCCAAAGCCCCTGCAGTAACAGACGGGTGATGTCACTCTGGCTTAGTCCATTCATTCTTACAGGCTGTGGTTGCACACCAGAGAAAAATTAGATACATTGAAAACCAACATTTTAAACATCTAATCCACATTCTATATTTGACCTAGCCTCCAGTGACTCCGGTGACTCCATCGGTCCACCCCATGTTGAGCCTGGTGTATCTTGGATGATGGTGTTCAGTCCAGCCATCACGGTCCTCTCCACCTTCCTGTGCCTGACTTTTGTTTATCTCTGCAGTCAGAATGCAGGTAAATACACAACAATCACTTTTTACCTGTTAAGTATAGACATTTTGAATTGACTTGAATACAAATGAATCATATTGATTGTGATGGATCATTGAATGAATGAAGTCGTTGTCTAACAAGAAACCTTTTATTTATGATTCTACAGATGAAAAAGATCAAATGACTGAGAGAAGACCTGACATGGGAGAGGAAAGTACAGTGAATCAGGTAAGGACTTTCTTTGGTATTTTCATGGTCTCAGAACCATTAGACATCTTTGCAGCAGTAGAGACTCTGTACTAATGACACTCATGTTACTGTGTCTGATTACCTTTCAGGATGAAGACGCATGTTTCACCAGAGTTGTGTTCTTGTGTGTCGATGGACGGAACAAATAGATTGGCTTTGTCTGAGCGGACATCACACAAGCTCCACTTCAAACTTCTCACAAAGTCTTTAGAGTCCGAGTTTAAAGACCTGTTATATTTGTACACAGTGATGATGCGTTTTGGGATGCATAGTCAAAATGGTGTCAGAAAGTCAGCTAGTGGTGTTGAATTAACTGTTTGTTTGTTTGTTTTCTGGCTTCTTGCCTTCACTTGATAAGACGGTGTATAGAGTAGTAAACAGGAAAGAGAGAGGGGGGAATGACATGTGGTAATGGAACCACAGGCCGGACCTGAACCACCCACCCAGAGGACCAGAGCTTCCAAACATTCGGGGCAACCCAACCAGCAGGTCAGCTGTGGTCATGAATTAACAATTGGGTCTTCAGCAGATGTTCAGCAGAAGCAGCTTTTGAGGACCCTTGTTTACTATCACAATGACGTTAATCATCCTACTACGACGCTCGATGGCCGATTAGGATCCAATTTGTCAATGTCTTCAGAGACATAAACATCAACAAAACAGATATTTTCAACAAGTAAACAAGTAAACAAGTATCGTTATTATAGCAAAGATTACTTTGACACGACTAAAAGTGACAGCAAGAGACCGCTGCCAGGCTTAGAACTGTGCAACCCAATACATGGCCTTCCTGGGCACCCACAGTGCTGCACTTTCAGGAGGAAGACTCAGATTTCATTTTAACTAGTTCACCACAATGAATTAATTTTTTTAACATTAATCCCGTTTTAGTTTGCATACTGTTTCCAATTTATTCATCATGTGTAACTATGTTGTAACCATTACTAATGTACATGTATTCTTCCTTTATGTTCACCATCTATTTGTAATAAAGATTCACATTAAGCCAAGAACTTTGTTGGTTTGTTTCTGTTGAAAGGTCGAGCAGATCTAAGAAAGGCCGAACCCCCAAGGGACCCACACAGAAAAAAAGTGATAGGCTAAGATTGATGTCAAAAATCAACAAAAATTAATTCCAATTTATTCAGTGAGAACCTTAAGTCGAGGTGTGGCTGACTAAGGCAGCCTGATGTTTTTCAGTGAGGAAACATGAATTTTTTACACAGTTTGGGTAAAATATGGTAAAATCTTCTGGAGGTTCAAAAGATTTGCAAATGTAGAAATACACCGCAAGAAAAGGTGGTCATTGTTGCTTTAAGTTAGGATGAACCCTGTTTGTGTAAGCCTCCATGGGTCCTTCCCATGCAATCTTTCCCCAGAAATATCTTAAATAGACCTGAGCTTGCATAGCACTTTTCTATTCTTCAGTCTACTCAAAGCACTTTTACACCGCAGACGAAGTAGCTGGAGCAACTTTGGCTTGAGTGTCTTGCTTAAGGACATATCAGACATGTTGCCCCAAGCTTTACTCTTTTTCCCCACCGTAGGGGCGGCCATAAATATTGAATCACACCATCAAATGCCAACATTTATACAGAGGAGAGGAAATATGCCTGAGCTGTGTATAAGGATACACATGTTCAGTTCAGGCTGCGTAGGTTTTATGTGCCATGAAACAAACATGTTTTAAATGTATAAGAACACAAAAATCCTACAAGTGGTTTTTCAGGCATTGTCTGAGAAGGCTAAAATGTTGTTTTTTATGGTCGGAAAATCTGTTGAAGATGAGTTGGCAACTTAAGAAGCTCATGTGTGTCATTTTTTGGACACCGACATATACTGCAGTCACAGTTTAAGTGTTGTTTGAACTCTTTCAACTTTCTTTTAGCCTCCACTATGTACTGATATGATCTTACGATGGGGGATTTCTCACAAACAGCGACCCATAAATCTATTCTTCTTTCATAATTTGAAGTAGCTGCACTGAGGGTGAATGTGATAGACACTTACACCTTGCACACAACCATGATATCACTTTCACCCACACTCTTACTCTTTTCAGTTCCCCAACAAAATTGGAGTCATTCAACCAGACAGTTAAAACAGTTTGTTTTAGTGTAAAATTAAACAATAACTTCTGTTACTGTGCTAATCATTATTTCTCTGTCTTTCAGTAACATGACTAGTGGGTGGGGGCAGGACTTCCTGCTTCCTGAAGGCTCCTCTTTAGACCAGACCAAATGCTCTGATGTCATGGGGGAAGGGGGGGGGGCTGCATTAGGTCTGTTCACTGAGTTCACACCTTAGCTTTTCTCATGTTCAGTAGAGTTATGTTCAGTTATAGTTTCACTTTTAAAGCTAAGAAATTTGGGGTTTGTACATTTTGTATTCATCTTTGAGTAAAATAAAAACTCCTGTTGTCTCTTGCCTAGCTTCTTGGTCCTTAACAGTCACATTAAATCAGTATAACTTTACATTTATTTTATAGAGAAACAAGCTGCTTGATCCTTTATAAACATGTTTGATCATAGCACTCTGCACTTTATTTGGCACTCTGCGATTGTTTGAACTTGCTATTGAAATCCCAACATGTAATCATGTTATGCTTTAATGATGTATTTTAATTTGTTTTTTTTTATGGTTTTTGTTTTCATGTGCACTCCTGTATTATGGTTTTGATGCCCTTTGTCACTAACATTGTGTTTTTATGCAAAAGCGACATTACAAAAAAAGGCAACACATCTTCTGATTGAATTGTTGCCCTGACGATGACCTGAAAGACCAAAATGTCTCGTGGTTACTCCCATGAAAAAATAAATAAAAAAAAATGTTCCACCAGGAGTTTACCTTTCAGGATGAAGACGCATGTTTCACCAGAGTTGTGTTCTTGGTTGCAGATGGACAGAACAAATAGATTGGCTTTGTATGAGCGAACATCACACAAGCTCCACTTCAAACGTCTCACAAAGTCTTTAGAGTCCGAGTTTAAAGACCTGTTATATTTGTACACAGTGATGATGCGTTTTGTGGGCGGAGTCAAAATGGTGTCAGAAAGTCAGCTAGTGGTGTTGACTTGGACTGTTTGTTTGTTTGTTTTCTGGCTTCTTGCCTTCACTTGATAAGACGGTGTATAGAGTAGTAAACAGGAAAGAGAGAGGGGGGAATAACGTGGTAATGGAACCCAGACCCGTCCACCCAGAGGACCAGAGCTTTCTCACATTCGGGGCAACCCAACCACCAGGCCAACTGTGCTCATGAATTAACAATTGGTTCTTCGTCAGATGTTCAGCAGAAGCAGCTTTTGAAGACCCTTGTTTTCTATCACAATGACGTTAATCATCCTACTACGACGCTCGCTGGCCGATTATCATCCAATTTGTCAATGTCTTCAGACACATTCACGTTGTTAGGGAAGAGTTTGTGGAGTCACAGAGTACATTTAAAGAAATGAATATTATTTTCACCATCTATTTGTAATAAATATTCAAATTAATCAAAGTACGTTGTTGGTGTATCTCTGTCAAAAGGTGAAGCAGATCTAAGAAAGGTTGAGCCCAACAGGAGCCACAAAAAAGTGATAAGATTGATGACAAAATTCAACAGAAACTGTTTTGCTGTTACTGTTTGTGTCTCAAAATAAATAAACTCAATACAAAAAAATTCATCCAATCCAATAAACGAATAAGCTGTTTTTTCATGTTTTTTCAAGTTTTTGAATTTTCATACTCAGCTCTGCTACTCATCCCACATTGCATGTTCCTTACAAATGTGGCACCATTTAAAAGGGAAATAAACAGTCTTTCCAAAGTTACAAGATTTATTGCCAAGAAGCATTGTTCCAACAAAGAAATAAATCTACCAAACACAAATGTCCTTACTTTTTGTTCGATGTTTATGTCAACATTACAAAATTATTTTTTTTGTTCCTCTGGTCTTAGGTCTGTTACATCCTAGATGTATTAAGAGCGGAATAGGTGCAGAAGTCAGAAGTCTGCGGTTCCTTCTTCTTCTTTGGTCTCTTTGATTTCTGACGGATTTCCACAGCAGCATAGCACACATCGTCATCCTAAGATTGGATATTTGTCATTTAGAAGCCCAACCTTGAACATATTTAATGCTTTGATACATTACACTTTAATGATAGATACCTGGCTCTGTCTTGGATGACCTCTAGTGTCAGGTCTTTGCTGATCAACAGGATGTTCTTCAGCTGCAGGAATAAATATAACATCAGTACAGCACAATGAAACTCACACAGTGGAAGAGACTTAAAGGTGTCTTTGTGATTAAAAACAATTAAGTGGTTACATATTCTAGAAGAAGTGAGGTAGTTACCCTTCTTACAGCAGTGATAGACCACAAGTGAGGAGAGGAGAGAGGAGACAATAGATACAACTGGACACAGACAGAAGATCAGAATCCAGCAGTCCTGTGGCGTCTTGGGGGGAGGAGTCTCATTTGTTTCTGTATCTAAATGAAAGTTGTGTTGATTACGTTCATTTAACTCTGATCTACAGAAAAAATCCTAAAAAGTTGGGACATGTGGAATCTAAAACACATTGAAACCCCATATTTCAATGAAAATTGCTCAAAGACAACGTAAATTGTTGAAACTGTGATATTTTGTTGTTTTTGGAAAATGAAATGCCCAGTTTGAATTTGATGCCAACAACATGATTCAAAAAAGTTAGGATGGTGTCAAGAAAAATTATGGGGACACGTCGGACAAAAGCACCAATTTTTTTCCACATAGTCTCCATCACAATAGCTTTCAATTTTCACTTTGCTCTTCATCAAGTTGGCGGTTCTAATATGGTGGCAATGTAAAATCTGTTAGTGCCAATATGTCTTCCAAGCCACTTAGAAAGTCAATCTTGGTGTCAATATATTTTCTGGGTCAAGGAATGCATTAAAATATGGAAAAGATTTGGTGCTTTTATCCGACGTGTCCCCATTCGTTCCAATTCTGGTCCGAAGCTGCCTGACTAAAAGGCTGAAAAATGGTAAAAAACAAACAAACAAACATCCATAACTGAATCATAATTCAAATGATGAATTATCATAATATGTTATGCCCGCCACCTATCGTAGTACGCGTTCTGCCCGCTCGCCTCATGGACTGTAAATGTTACGTTCACCTGCCTGGGAGCTGGAGTCTGACGTCACTTTCCTGCACCGTCCACTTAACCATTTCATTTTCGAGTTGGTTTGAATTATGATCACTTTTTAGCACGGCAAGTTTGAAAACGAAAAGCCAAAGACCTTTTAGTTTTCATTTGAATTATGTCATACAATATGCAGACATAGAGAACAAAGGTATAATGCAAACTGGATGACTGAATATTCATTTTAAATATAGGTCAAATAATGCACTTAAAATCTGAAAATTAAAACGCATTTCTGTTATTGCATTTGAATTTTCAAATTAGCTTTATCATTTCAATTTTGATCACTAATCGCTTCCATACTAGCAGGCCCGCATTCTGGGACCGTAGTGTTCTCGAGGGGCAGTACGGCACTAGTAGCTCCTTAAGATAAGCTGGTGATTGGTCATTTAGAGCTTTGTAAGTGAGAAGAAGGATCTTGAACTCTATTCTAGATTGTATAGGGAGCCAGTGCAGAGAAGCCAACACAGGAGTAATGTGGTCCCTTTTCCTAGTTCTAGTCAGTACACGAGCTGCAGCGTTCTGGACTAGTTGAAGAGTCTTTAGAGACTTACCAGAGCACCCTGACAAAAGAGAATTACAATAATCCAACCTGGAGGTAACAAATGCATGAACTAGTTTTTCTGCATTATTTTGCGACAGGATCTGCCTGATCTTAGATAAGTCCAGGGCAGAGAACCCGAAAGGGTATGTTCTTTGGCTGCTAGGTCCGTCCGAGCCGACTCTAGTTTTGCTAAGAGTCATCGAGCGAGAGAAGAGGGCCGTGGTAGGGTAGACCGAAAATATCAGAAAATAGTTTATTATTATTAAATAAATAATTACTATAGGTGTGATT